CTCAAGGCGAATTGGAGGATCCAGATAGTGGTAATTCTGAATTCCTTTTGTGAGTGGTCAGGAGCCTAGAAACAGTCTTTTCAGATACCAGGTTAGACGCCTCTAGGCCGGTGGTTCTCCACTTTCTGCCTGTGTAAGCTGGCTTGTTAGACTGCAGGGTGGGCAACGTCCTCATGGATAGCGTGTGGGTGGACAGTGTGGGTCCGTGTGGAAAACAAGTGTCAGCGTGCTTCAGTCTACTCCATGCACGCACTGTGTAGATTAAATAGGTGTCCAGGGAGAGCCACTGATGGGCTGGTGAAGAGGCTTCCTGCCACTCAGACTGTGGGCGCCGCAGATACTCTGGGCGCAGGATTCTGGGTGGCCTGGAGGTCTACTGCCTTCTTAAGCTGGTTCTCCGTGGCCTGACAGCCTTTGTGGCTGCCTGCTCAGCTTCCACTTAACTTCTCTTTGTGACAGGCATGAGGTGTTGATCCCCACGACCCGGTTTCTAGCCATAGACTCAGGCTGGAGCAAGGAATTGCTCTTTGCGGGAAAGGAAAACCAGTCCTAGGCCTTACCCAGGCCTTCTGGGTCCTTCCTTTTCTTTCTTACAGAAAAGAATTTCAGGAGTAATGAGCAATGAAGTGACAACAGGAGAGGGAGGAAAAGAGAAAGTAACATGCTTAAGAGAGAACGCAGGCTTCCCTAAAGGCAGCCTGAGCCCGGTACGCATCTCGAGAGGGAGATGCAGGTGACACATGTGCTCGGGCACCACACGTGCCTGGCCGCTTGGACACGAGCAGCCCTTGGGAGCATATGTGCGTGCTTCCTTTGTTCAAGTTGACTTTCATAGGGCTTCTCCCAAGCTTCCCTACGTGGGGCTTCTAGCTAGGTAAGAGTCCATCGCTAGGGTGGTTGCCAAGGGGGTAGAGTTGGGAGTGGTAATGGTACTCTCTGAAATTCCTTTCCTGGCCTTCTTCCTGCTGGAGCATGGAGGGGGCTTCCAGCCTTCTCTGGGTCTTTCGGCCTCAGGTGAGGGTCTTATCAGGCCTTAGCTCCTGTGTCCACAGGGTGGGCTTTTTGCAGCCTTGGGGCTGTTGGTTTTATGACTTCCTAGGAATTCCAGTGCCATGAGGCCCCTCCTGACTACCTGCCTACATCAATCACAGCCCCTTGTTTCTTCAGTCTGGACCAAGTAGGGGTTTGAGTGGTGGCTTAAGGGACTCTGCACAGACTTTGCTGAGACCCAGGTTCGAGCCCCAGTGATGCATAATCCCCCCAGTACCTGCAAGAGGGGCCCTTGAGCCTGGTGGGTGTAGCAGTGGGTGCAGGCTGGATAAGCTCCCGCTTTACCGTGTAGAAATAAGACGTCGCTTCTTGGTGGTTTCAGACGTGATCGCAGTTGCCATAGGCTGGGGCAGCCTCGTATGTGTTCAGGAATGTGGGGCAGGCCTGTAAGGCTCTGCAGTTCCCAAGTTGTTCTGGTGGCCTCATGCCCAAGACAGAAGCAGCTGTGGGGGGAACAGAAGACATTCCATTGCCTTAGAGTGGACACAGGCAGGGGGCCGGGGGGGCTGCCATCTGGCAGCTCATTCATCTACGTTTCTTTCTGAACACATTTTCCAGTCCAGCTGCACTTCCTCATCTGCAGTTCCCATCACTGGCTTGCTTCCAACTGGGCTGAACACCCGGGGAGTGTAGTTGGGGTTCAGGGAAGGAGGGAGGGCCCGCCGCGGGCACTGGCCCCGCTCTCAGGCCTGGATGCCCAGGCGTGGGCAGCTCGGGAGGGCGAGGCGGATCCTCCCTCCTCAGACCTTTCGGGCCAGTGCTGTGCTTCTGTCAGAGGGCTGTGGCGCTGCGGGCTTTGCTCTTCATCCCCAAGCACCCCTGCCTTGCAGATGCCCGCGGGAGTGCCCCCAAATGGGCTCCCATCTTCTGGGCTCCTGTTTCCTCAAGGCAAGCAGGTAGACTAACGCCAGAACTCCTCTGGGCTTAGAGGGCGGGCAGGCCGCTCAGCTGAAGGAATCCCCATCGTGTCAAAACACTGCCTGCTACCCTGGCCCGGGGTGGGCACCTCCCTGCCCCGGAGAAGTGAGCCGTGGCTGCATGCGTCTCGGACCCATGAGCTGCGGTGGTGCCCTTGCTGCAGGCGCCGTGCCAGTCCTCCTTGGCCAGCTGGATGGAGGAGCATTCCAGAACCTTGGCTGGCCATGGGTGGTGGCAGTGGGGTGAGCCTGGGAGTCACGGGCTAGTCGGGCTAAGGCTTCCCAAGCAGGAAACACGGGCCCCTGTGCGGCTCAGGGCAGGAGAGCCAGAGGGTGCTTCTGGAAGGGCAGGGGGCGGGGGCGGGGCACAAATGCAGAGCAGACACAGCAGGACTCGGGCATCGGGGTGATGCTGCTCGAGTAGTGCCTGCTGGCAGGTGAGCTGTCACACACCGTCCCTGTTGGGTTCAGGGAACCTCCCCCAGGCTCACCCCTTTCCTCCTGACACAGCTTCCTGGAAGCACTCCAGGGTTTCCTCTGGCTCTGGTGTTTGCAGTGCATGGCTCTGCATGCAGCAGCTCAGAGGTTTCTGAAGCTCCCTTGAAGCACGAGGACCAGTCTCCATGACAGTCGTAGCCGGGGGTGCATGTCTGGGAGAAGTGGGGACTGGATCTCCCCGTGTGGCGATTGGCGGGCAGTCCACGGAGGCAGCCTGGCGAGAGCAGAGCTGCACTTCTCTCTTCCGTTCTTGGTGATTCCCAGAAGGGAGCAGTCTGCTGACTGCCTGTCCATGGGAGGGAGGCCCTTCCTCCTCCGCGGTGGCTTCACAGAGGGACAGCTCTGGGGAAGGAGGGCCGGGCCGCTGGTTCGGGGATACTTGGTGACTTTCCTGAAAATGCTGCTTTGTCCATTTTGCTGCTTGGCTTCTCCTGAATAATGGTGACTCTGGACTCTGACTCAAGGATGGGTGTTGTGATCTAAGTGACAAGGACAGCACTCCGTGATGTAGATCATGCTGTGTGACACACAGGCACCCTGCGATGGGCCTGCTGTGCGGGGGAGACGCGGCAGTGAGAGGCCTTGAGTGTGGCTCCCTCCTCCTGAGCTATCAGGAAAACCAGAAGGGGCTCTTGGCGGCTACAGCGTCACTGCAGGGACCCGTGCCCAGGGGGTGGCTGTCGGAGCACAGCAGGCTGCCTGTGCTGACAGCCTGTGATTCTGAGGCAGGACGCCAGCTCCATGCGGGGCCCAGGAGAAAGTGTCACTGAGTGACCCAGGCTGAGGAGACAGTGTTCTCTGTCAAGGGCGACAGCGGGTTCAGAAAGTGCGGGTGTCTTGAGTGCTGCGCCATGTGTTCATTTAGACACGGCCCATTCGCGTGGAAATCTGACTCTCTCAGCCCTGTGTGGACTCTGCCTCAGTGGCAGTGCTGTGCAGGTCCAGCTGCCAGGGACTTGGTTCTGGAGGGGCCAGAGGGGTCTGGGATGCTCAAGCAGGCAGCAGAGGGCTGCTGTGTGTGTGGCAGGGATCCACAGAGAGTGGGAGTGGGTCAGAGGAAGCAAGGCCCTGGGTTCGGAACTGCAGCAGAGAAAGACGGGTTTTCCAGAGTGCAGTCCTGTTTCCGCCCCACACAAGCGTCCCAGATGGTGTGAAGTGCCTTGCCTCCAGACGTGCGTGCTTGTTGCAGGAGACGGTGAAGGCTGGCTCCCTCCTGGTGAGCTGTGTGGCAGTTGGGCTCCCAGGCAGGTCATGATGGGCCTAGTCTTGGCTGTCCTGCCCCGGTCCCTGAAGGCCCTCTTCACTGCCCTCTGCTGGGAGAGTAGGGCTTGCATGCAGTGCTTCTGTGAGTCCAGTGACCGCACAGGGTCACAGTCACTGTCTCTGGGACACCTTCATCAGCATGGACTTGCCTGGCACGGAATGCCCAGTTCTTTAAACTGAGAACTGAGCCCACCTCAGAAGCGTCTGCTCATTGTCCATTCCAGTGAACATCGCTGCTATGGGTCCTGGGAGATTGGGAAGATGATCACTTCCTCCAGTGGTACCCTCGAAATCCCCCAAGGTGCCTATTTTTGTGTCCATGGTGAACTGCCTGGGCAGAGGTGGTGATACTGGGATCCTGGGTCACAGTCTAGCCCTGGAAGTACTTTTCCTCCCAGGACAAGGCAGGTGTCCTGGTCAGGGGCACCTGATACCTATCCACATGTACTCTTCCCGTCTAAAGAAGACATCAGGGAAGCACTGTGCCAGGGTGTACATGCCATGCTGTGTGCACACATATATGTGTATGTGTGCGTGTACTGGGGACCCAGTGTGTCTCAGGGTGTGTGTGTGTGTGTGTGCGTGCGCATGTATGCTGGGATGTTTATTCATGTGTGTGTGCTGAGATATTTATTTGTGTGTGTGCAGGGTATATGTGTGTGTCAGGGTGTATGTATGTGTGCTGGAATATTTATTCATATGTGTCTGCTGGGGTACCTGTGTGTGTGCTGGGGTGTGTGGTTGTGCTGGGGTCCATGGGTATGTGTACTGGTGTGTGTGTGTGTGTGCGCGCGCGTGTGCTGGGGTACATGTGTGTATGCCAGGGTGCTTGTGTGTGTACCAGGGTTCATATGTATATGCTAGGGCATGTATGTGTGCTGGGCTGCATACGAATGTGCCAGGGTGCACATGTGTGCTGGGGTATATACACCGTTGTGCTCCTGTGTGTTGAAGAGTGTGTTGGGCCCTCTGCTCTCCCTGACACTTTTCTCATTAGCTGACCAGCTAACTTGTTTAACTTGTTAGTGGGTAACTGATTCTCAGGCGTCTTTTTTCTCTTTCTGGAAACGCGAAACAGACTCATTCCCAGTTGCTGTTTATCAGAGTATGAACTTTTTATGTGGTTTTAGTCTTCTGAATTTTCATGTAAAAACAAGGAACAAAGCAGGACTCTGTTAGTTCTCTGTATCTGCCTGTGCTTAAGTTTTTGTTCTCCTTTGAACATTGCTGCTTACTGTCTTTTAAATGACCCCTTCTGCTTTCTTTTCTTAGGGTGCAGGTCAGGATAAACTGGGAATCTATGTCAAGTCGGTCGTGAAAGGAGGCGCAGCTGATGTGGTGAGTGCAGCCTCATCCCCTTCTGGTGCCTGCCACCAGGCCCAGCCCCAGTCCGATGGCTCTTCCTGGTACCGGCAGCTCTCAGCGAGGCCCTTGGTCTTCTGCCCAGCCCCTGCCCCCTGCCCCCTGCCCCCTGCCCTTCTCCCCCCCTGCACACCCACCGCCACAGATGTGTGCTTTTGTATGTGCACAGGATGGACGCCTGGCTGCAGGCGACCAGCTCCTCAGTGTGGATGGGCGAAGTCTGGTAGGACTCTCTCAGGAAAGGTATGTTGGCTATGGTTAAAGCTTGGTTTTTAGGGAATTGAATTTTGAAACCAGATGAGAAGCAGTGCTTTATGAGGTGCCCCTGTGTGAGTTGAAACCGTACGAGACTGCTCTTTAGGTGAATATTTCAGTTGAAGCATTTAAACACCCAGCACTTCCTGAAAGAGCAGGACATCTTCGTGCTCTGACAGCCAATCCAGTTGTGCGAGGATCTTTAGAGGTGGTCTCTGGGCTATGGGCAGGCCGTGGGGTCCTGGGAGCATGGTGACAGCCCACGCCTGGGCACTCCCTCCAGGGCTGCAGAGCTCATGACCAGGACCAGTTCCGTGGTCACACTGGAAGTGGCCAAGCAAGGAGCCATCTACCACGGCCTCGCCACCCTGCTCAACCAGCCGTCCCCCATGATGCAGAGAGGTAAGGGGAGCCCGGGACCTTGTGACTGCCTCCTGTGCTGCAGTGACCCCAGAAATGATGGAGGGGGCTACTGTAGCTCTCAGGTTGCTGTGCTAGAGACCAAGAGGCGGGGACCCAGCTGGGTGCGGACAAAGCACCCCCATGGATTGCCTGCACTCGCCCTCTGCACAGCTGCCTGGTCTCTCTCGGTCATGGAGAGGGCCAGCAGCAAGGCAATGTGGGGGTGATGGGCACGAGTATTGGCAGCTTGTGTGGGCTGGAGCATGGCAGAACAAGCCATCGTGTGTGTGTGGGGGGGGTGGGGTGTCATAGGGCACAGGGCACTCTTGTCAGTGGGCCCCGGCTCTGGTCACAAGGAAGGGATCAGCTGGGGATACCCCACTAATGTTAGTGCTGGGGCACTAGAGCCCTGGGGAACCCACATAGCGTACCTGCTGGTCACCTCAGGAGCTCAGTCTCAGCTTTGGGCCACTGTGTGCAAGCTCGCCACTCAGCCTGTGCGCTGGGCACACCACCCCCCTGGGCCTGATGTCTCCGCAATACCACAGAAGCACCGAAAGTTGGCCTTCTCTTTGTTGAAACAGCAAGGCCATCTGAGTGTTACGCTCTGGTCTGACTGGGCCTCTGGCGTCTTTGTTGCTTACGTGGCACTTGGCATAGGGCTGAGTAATAATGGCAGACAGTATGGCTTCAGGAAGGAGCTAGGTGACGTGTGAGGAATCCAAGGGAGATTGGCCAAAGTAGGTAAGAGATCAGGGTCTGGAAGGTGGACAGCTGCAAAATTAAACATGAATCACATGTTCAGATGTTGGCTACTCAGGGTGAGATCAGCCCTGAAGAACTGGCAACTCGTAGATATGGTTTAGAAGTTGTTTTATTGGGTTGGAGAGACTGAACAGCAGGTAAGGGTTAAATTCTTTGCCTTGCGTGCAGCCCATCCAGTTTTGATCCCCAGTTCCCAGTATCCCCTGAACCCCGCCAAGAGTGATTCCTGAGCACAGAGCTTGGAGTAAGCCCTGAGCACTGCTGAGCGTGGTCCCAAAAGATGAAACAAAAAAGTTTTTGAATTCAGTACCTGAGGCAAGCCAGTGTGTGAGAAGGCCAACTTTGTTTTGTGTTTGTGTTCTTTGGCGATGCTCAGGGATTACTCCTGAATCTGAACCCAAGACTCAATGCTGGTGGGACCTGGGGGGTCATACGGGATGCCAGGGTTCTAACCCAGGTTGGCCGCATGCAAGCCGCGACCCAAGAGTGAGTCCCCTACCCACTGTACCTTCTCTCTGACCCCATGAGAAGATCAGCTTTGGAAGAACATTTCTCCCCATCTACGCAGTAAGGGAGGGATCTTGCCTCTCTGCTTCCTAAAAACAAATCTCCTTCCTTCTGCAAAGGACTTCTGTCCCTTCTGAGTTAAGGACAAGTTTCTCAGCCTGGGGTCTTGTGGCCCCACCAGCGAGTGTGTGCTCTCAGTTATAGATCCCATATGTGCTCTCAGTGGCAGATGAGTGTGTGCAGTCTGTGGTAGACTGAGTGTGTGCTGTCTGGCAGATGGAGTGTGTGCTGTCAGTGGCAGATTGATTGTGTGCCATCAGTTGCAGATCGCCGAGGCTCGGGGAAGCCCCGTCCCAAGAGTGAAGGCTTTGAGCTCTACAACAACTCAGCACCCAACGGGTCCCCGGAAAGTCCGCAGCTGCCCTGGACAGAGTACACTGAGCCCAAGAAATTGCCGGGCGAGGACAGGCTGATGAAGAACAGGGCTGACCACCGTTCCAGCCCTAATGTTGCAAGTGAGCCCCGGGCTGTGTACGGCCCTGGAGAGTGGGGGTGCTTGTCCTATGGGGTCCATGAGTCAGTCTGGCCGTGGGTAGCAGGGTGGGGGTGCTGTGTGGTGTGGGGCACGTCCTGGTGGACCTATAAACCCATGAGTTGGCCCATGAGTGCGCCTCCCGATGGGTTCCTGAATCGTCGTGGCCATTGGTGTTGCATGACTTATAGCTCAATCCCTCTTTTCTTCCGAGCAGAGCCACATGCTAGGCTGGGCACTGGAGGCCCTTTGCCACTCTAAGTGGGCCCTTGAGGTTGTCTGGGAGTGGAGGGGCTTTCAGAGGTGACTCAGGTGGAAGCGGAGCAAAGTTTGGGGGTCTGGTCACGCAGTTCTGGGGCAAGCGTGTCTCGTGACTTCAGAGCTCCTTTCCCCGCTCTCCTGCAGACCAGCTTCCCAGCCCCGGAGGGAAGAGTGCGTACGCCCCTGGAGCAACCGCCAAGATCACCTCTGTCTCCACCGGGAACCTGTGCTCTGAGGTGGGACCACTGACCTTGTTACTATGGAAACATTCACTGCTTTGAGTACTGAAAGGCTTTGTTGTTCAGTTCTTGAGTAAAGTGGTTTGAAGTTAATTAGCGCAAGCAGAGGACGACTCATTCTCAGTATAGAATCAGCACTTCCGTCAGCACTTTCCAGAATGGGTCATATTGTGGGCCTGGGGGGCGGGGGCTGGAGTGATCCAGGGAGCAGTAGCCTCCATTCAGCTTGAGGTCATTTTCTCTCTGTTCCCTTGGAGAAGACAGCTTTGAGGGGGTTGGTGTGAGGGAGTCTTCTGGAAGGAGCGGTAAGCCAGTCGGTCCGTTTGGGACTGTGGTCTTGACTCGGTCTGAGCGGTTGGTGAAGCTGTGTGGTGTCCTAGAGCCACAGGCAGATCTGCTGTGCTGGCTGCCCAGTGATGCCTCCCCCTCGCCCCATCTGTAGGAACAAACCCCTCCACCTCGGCCCGAGGCCTACCCCATCCCCACGCAGACCTACACCCGGGAGTACTTCACCTTCCCCGCCTCCAGGGCCCAGGACCGCACGGCGCCTCCCCAGAACCAGTGGCCAAACTATGAGGACAAGGCTCCCATGCTCACAGACGTCAGTGACTCCCATTCCGCGCGTCAGGTGAGGGGTGCATGAGCCCCACATGCACACACAGACGGTCAGGTGAGGGTCCGGCCTGCCCTGCCGTTCCCGCAAGGCTGGATGCTTGGCCAAGAGACGGCCCTGCTGGTTTCTCTTTCCTCCCGAGCCGTGACTTCTCCCGACTTGAGACTCCAGCGCCAGAGGCTTGTAGGGTGCCTTCCCAGGAGTAGGAGATGGGCGGGCAGGCAGGAAGGGGAGCTCTTCTGGCATGGTGCCCTGCTCCTGCCAGCCAGCAGGGTGGATGGTGCACTCGGCACAGCGGCGCCTTCTGTCCTTCCCAACCACAGGCTCCCCTCACTCAGACTTCCTCACGCTCTTCCCTCACACCCTCCTCCCTCACACAGACTTTCCTCTCGCTCCTCTCACACTCATTCCCTTCCCACTCTTCCCTCACTTTCTTCCCTCACACTTCCCACACACTCTCTTCACTCATCTGATCTTCCCTGAAGCACACTCTGTCCTCACACTTTCTTCCCCTGTGCTCTTCCTTCGTGTATACTTCCCTTTCTTCCTTCTCTCTCTCTTTCTCTCTCTCTCTCTCTCTCTCTCTCCTTTTTGGGATCACACCGGCAATGCACAGGGGTTCCTCTTGGCTCTGCACTCAGGAATTACCCCTGGCGGTCTCAAGATAGCCTGTGGGATGCTGGGAATCGAACCCGAGCCGGCCGCGTGCCAGGCAAACGCCGTGCTGTTGCTCCCGCCCCTCTTCCCTCTTTCCTCGCATTCTTCTCTACACTCTTGCCTGGTGCATACTCCCCTCCCACTCTCGCTCGCTCGCTTCCCTCCCATCCGCACCGTGGTCCCCACCCTCCGCAAAGGCTGCTTGCGGTGCCGGTGCACCGCACAGCCCTGAGCCTGCGTGCCAGGCCACGTGGGGCACTGGGGCCAGGGGTCCTGCGTAGGAGCCAGGCCCAGTCACACCCACCCTGAGGCAGCTGCTCTCCTCCCCTCTCCTCCTTGCGGCCGTGCCCTCTCGAGGAAGTTCCTGAGCCCCCACTCCTTGGCTGTTCCCCCGGGGCAAAGCGCTCACCCCAGTTGGGCAGGAGCAGTGCCAGGGCTGTGCCCGTGCCCTCCCCCCCCCCCCCCCCCCCCCCCCCCCCGGCTGCGTGTCCTTGCTGCAGCCCCATCTCTCCCTCTCTCCCCACAGCGGGTGACGCGCTCACAGGAGGAGCTGCGGGAAGACAGAGCCTGCGGCCTGGAGCACCAGATGGACAGTGACCTGTGGGTCACCCAGAGCTCCTCGCTGGGCTCCAGCGCGTCCAGCCAGGAGCACCTGGACCACTCCTCCAAGCCCAGCACCCCGGCCTCCACACTCACCAAAAGCGGCCCGGGCCGCTGGAAGACGCCCGCCCTGGTGCCGGCCCCTCCGGTGGCGCTGTCCCAGCCTCTCCGGACAGACCTGCCCCCGCCGCCCCCGCCGCCCCCCGCGCACTATGACCTGGACGGGGTGGCCCTGGACCTGCCCCTCCCGCCGCCCCCCGCGAGCCAGCTGGGCCCCGCGCCGGCCGAGCGCAAGAAGCGGGAGGAGCAGCAGCGCTGGTACGAGAAGGAGAAGGCCCGGCTGGAGGAGGAGCGGGAGCGGAAGCGGCGCGAGCAGGAGCGGAAGCTGGGCCAGATGCGCACGCAGGCCCTGCACCCCGCCCCGGCGCCCGCGCCCCCCCGCGCCCCCCGCCCGGCCCGAGAAGCCCGCGGCGCTGCCCAGGCCTCCGGAGACGGTCATCCGGGAGCTGCAGCCCCAGCAGCAGCCCCGCACGATCGAGCGCCGGGACCTGCAGTACATCACCATCAGCAAGGAGGAGCTGGCCTCGGGCGACAGCCTGTCCCCGGATCCCTGGAAGCGCGACGCCAAGGAGAAGCTGGAGAAGCAGCAGCAGCTGCACATCGTGGACATGCTGAGCCGCGAGATCCAGGAGCTGCAGAGCAAGGCCACGCGCAGCGCCGAGGAGAGCGACCGCCTGCGCAAGCTCATGCTGGAGTGGCAGTTCCAGAAGCGGCTGCAGGAGTCGAAGCAGAAGGATGAGGACGACGAGGAGGAGGAGGAGGAGGACGTGGACACCGTGCTGATCATGCAGCGCCTGGAGGCCGAGCGCAGAGCACGGGTACAGGGGAGAGAGGCGGGTGGGCGCCGAGCACAGAGCTCGGCACCGGGGGCGGGGGGGCGGGGGGGGCCTGGGGTCCAGGGTGAGCAGGCGGCAGGAGCTGGGCTGGCCCGGCTGCAGAGTTGGGCGTGTGGCCCCGGGGAGGTGGCAGGCGGCGCCCACGCATCTCCGCCTTCCTTCCCATCACGGCTCCCCAGAGGAAGCCCGCTCCTGACGAGCTGTTGCCCAGAGCCAGCCAGAGCCCCGTGGAGGCTGGCGCCAGCTGGTACTGGGGCGCCTGGGGCTGCCCCAGCCCTCCACCGGGGCCAAGCTCCCTTGACCCAGTCCTGCCTGTGCCACGGGCTCGTCCATAACGGGGGGCCGGTCGCCAGGGATACAGTGGTGAGGCAGGTGTGTGTCTCCGGCACACGACCAGTGACGGCAGGAGAGGCACGTGGCTCAGGACCTCGGGTTCTGTGCCTCCTCCAGATTTAGGAAGTGGCTTTCTCTCAGACCGAGGAGGCAGAGCACGCAAGTTCCACGGGTCGGTGCAGTCGGTGTCCCGGTGCCCATGGAGCGCGCAGAGTGGCTTGGGCCAGTTTGTGATTCTGAGTTTTATTGGTATTTTTCCTTTCTTTTCCTGAGAAGCAGTAGCAGGAAAGGGAGCCTTTACTCTTGGGTCTCATTTCTATCCCCAGTGCCATTTGGTGCTGTCTGCGCTAGAAATCTGAAGCCGGGTCCGGCATGCGGGACATTGGTCCTCCGCCTGTTGGTACCCAGTAGTTGGTTATCAGCGAGGACACAGACGGCAGGGAGGATCCCGCTCTTTGGTTCCTGGAAAGAGCCATCCCCCCGAGTGCGTTCACACCCGCATAGTACTTGTAAGTGGGCACACCAGCCCCGTGGCTCGCTCTGCGAAGCACTGCTCTGTGGGCACCATCAGCTCTGATTCCTGCTAGAGGCTCGGCAGCGGGTTCTTGGGCAACTCACACTGCTCAGCACTCTGGCCTGCGGGAGCATTTGGGCCCCTCTGGGCAGAACGCACCCTTGCTCTGGCCATGGCCTACAGGCGTGCTAAGGGCGTGCCCACCCCCAGCCCCCCGGCAGAGGGGCTGTGTTGTGACTGCCTTTTGCCAGAGAGAAGATGGCGAGGGCATTTCTTTTCATGTCTCAGTCCTTGTGGAGGGTCGAAGCCTCCGGCCCTTCTGGGCCGTGACTAGATACCCCGTCCCTGAACGCTGAGCTGCTGCCTCCCGAGAGCTGCTCCCGGAACTTCACTCTCACGTCCGAGGACTTGGCCCAGTGCCCACGAGTCTGAGGGCAGGGGGCTGCCCTCCTTCCGCAGACCTGCCTCGCTGCTGCCTGCAGCCTTGGGTGTCCGTCCGTGGGGCCTCAGAGCAGGGCTGCTGCACGCTGTCACAGCCGGGAAAGCTAACGCTGTCTCACCCCCTTTCTCTTTTCCTCTCCGGTAGCTGCAGCAGACTGCTATGCCAGCAATCTCTGTTCTAGATTTGGTATGTTCGTGTTTCTTTGCCTTTGGTCCTTCTGTCTTGCTGTTCTCTCTGTGCCGGTCTGTCCTCGGGAGCTGCCATCCGGGCGCCTGTCGGGCCGTGGGCCCGTGATGAGAAGCATGCCTCAGTGTCTCTAGATTTAGTTCCTCTTTGCTTTTCCCCCTTCATTCTCAGTGTTACTGTTTGTTATGGTCTGACCTTTCTCCGTTTCAGTCACAAACCAAACCCACTTCTGTGTATTTCGACCCCGTCCCGAACACGTGCGGAGGAGAGAGGTTTGGTGACGGGAGGCCAGTGTCACAGGATAGACTCTAGCAAGGGCATTTCAGCCACAACAGCACCAGAACGGCCTGGGCTGTTCATCCAGCGCTTCCATTTTCCTTAGCAGTGTCCCTGCTGTGCCCCCGCCACTCACCCCAGAGCCCACCCCATCACAGCCACCCCAGCTCCAGCCCATGTGCTCACCTGGAAGTCTTTCTCGTGTTCTCTGGGAACGTGGCCTCAGCACTGTACCCTGAAGCTGGCGCAGCCCCGGCAGTTCCCACAGTCCCCGCAGCTGAGCCACCCTGGGGCATTGAGGCCTGGGCAGTGGTCAAAGGGTTTTTCTTTTAGGGACACATGGAGACTCCGGAGTCCTGGGGAGATGGGTAGCTTTCGTGGTTTGGGCTATTGTTAGTCTTTCTGACTGTCCCCATTTTGTGGGGTGTTCCATGCCAAATCAGCCCTGACCCCCCAGCTGCGTGGCCAGCTGGTGCACCCTCTCCTGCCCGAGTCACTGCAGAGGCAGGGGTGCAAGTTGGACTGCACCCCAGTCCACTCTGTTGCCTCTGCTCTGCTGCCAGTGAGGGTGACACACCTGGGCCTCCAGTGTCGGAGGGAGCTGGGCTCCTTGCAGTTTTCCGAGCTCATGTTTTCGAGCTCCTGCCATAGTGCGGGGAGGGACCCCACGCCCTCAAGGACGTGTACACGCCACCCGCACAGGTGCCCAGCCACCACACAGGCGCCCACCCTGGGTCCGCATGGGCGTTGGAGAGGGTTGGGGTGTGGCCACGGGCAGGCTTCCGGCCTGGTTCCGCCGATCTGTCTTGGGGGCCATAGTCCACACCCAGGTGTGAGAGTTGGCAGAGCCCCCTTTGCCCTAAAAGAGAAAAGGAGCCCGAGGGTGAAGCATGGGCTGGCCCTCAGAGTCCCCGCTTGCCCTGCTCCCAGGGGGAGCCACCCTCTCCCGGCTTCTAGCGGTTCCCCCACGGCAGCGCCCCCTCCTGACATGCAGCCAGCGAGCTCACCCCTCCAGCCGTGACCTCCTGCCCTCACCTTGAGTCATTCTGTCTGATGTGACCGGTTCTGAGCCTGCGACATGGTGGCATGAGGAGTTGCTATTTGGAGAAACGACGAAAGTCTTTCGTCTCATAACTGTCTTTGTAGAGAGAAAAAAAAGGGGGTGCCTGCAGTGATTTTCAGGGAACACGCAAGCCACGTCCATGGCCTTGGGTGCCCACCAGCATGTGCTCCCGTGCCTGACCTCTGACCCCAAGCTCCTGATTTGTGTTTGTGAGAATAGAAGTTGACTTTGAGATGAGAAGACTGTGAGGCTCACCAGCAGGAGCCCGGGGTCCAGCGCTCTGCCCCTCTGCTGGGCCCATGAGTGCTCGGCACAGCTGCCGGCGGGCAGTCAGCTCTGGGAAGCGTGGGACGCCGGGCCGGGCCTCCTCCCCTGGAAAATGGCGGCTCTCAGGTGCTATCTTGAGGCTCTTTTCCGGGGTCCCGTTTTTGTGGGAACTGTACCTGTAACTGAGATTCTGATGGCTGTCCCTCCGTTGGGGGCTGAGCCCATGGGACTTTCCCTTCCTGCCGTGGGCTCCTCGTGGGGTGCATGTATCCCCAAGCCCCCAGCCACCCCTGCAGAGCCTCCCGAGACTGGAGGAGCATTTCTGGAGAGAGAGCTCTGCTGCGGACTCCGGGGCATCCGTACTCTGCAGACAAACAGCTCCCGGCTCAGGCACTTCTTGGCTCTCCAGCACAGGCAGCGAGCGAGGACAGAGTGCTCAGGTTCCTGGGGCTGTAGGAAAAAGGACCAGACATGATTCAGGGGCAGTTGCTGTCTTCTGTTCGCTGTGAGCAAGGCTAAGGTGCCAGCCCAGTGGCCTGAGAGCATGCCCCAGGAGGGTGTCAGTGGGGTCTTGCCCTGGAGCTGGGGGGCTCCGCTGTCACTCCATAGCACGCAGTCAGTAGGGTCTTCATCCGCACGAGCATGGCTGTGCCCCCCCGCTGGCCGTTCGTGTTTCCCTGCTTCCTTGCTACCATCTCAGGCGCCCACCGCCTGAAGTGAGGGCTGCGTGGAAGGGCCGAGGCGCTGACGCCTCCCAGGACAGGGCCGAGGCGGCAGCACGCATGTCCATCCGCTTTGCTTTCGAGACCGGCCTGGCAGTGTCTGCAGTGATGGTGCTGTGGGGAGGCAGGTGGCCGCAGAGGAGGAGGAAGGTCCCCACCGAAGGCTGAGTCCAGTTCTGTGACTCCGGTTGGTGCTGCCCCGAGACGGAAGGAGTTTCTGCGTCAGATCCAGGACAGGGTTCCCAGAGAGCTCGTGGGCTGGGCCCTTGCAACAAGGGAGCACTCCCTGGTGGCTGCTGTCCTGTGTGTCCTGTCCCTGACCAGAGCTGGCCAGTGCATCACTAGGGTTTTGGAGCCACGGCCCCTTTGGGCCCTCTTGGGCTGGCAGGGCCAAGCCCAGTGCCAGGGCCCAGCCTGGAGCAAGAGCACTGGAGCCTGGGTGTGCGTGCTGTCCCACAGTGCCCTCACCGTCTGCACTCTTGTGTGTGTGTGTGTGTGTGTGTGTGTGTGTGTGCGCCTTGCACAGGCAGCTGGGCGGGCGGGCGGGAACCAAGGATCGTGCGCTGTCAGTTGCAGGACGAGGAGCGGCGGCGGCAGCAGCAACTGGAGGAGATGCAGCAGCGGGAGGCAGACGACCGTGTGCGGCTGGACGAGGAGCGCCGTCAGCAGGAGGAGGAGCGTGGCCGGCGTGACGCCGAGGAAAAGGTCCTGGTCCTCTGAGTGCCGCTCGCGTGCCACAGTGTAGCCCAGCCTTAACTGCCAGGGCCCTGGGCCCCGCTCCGTGCCTGCGACGTGGCGGGTGTAGACAGGGCCTGCTGGCTCCCGCGCTTTGGTGGCTGGACCCAACCTTCCCTGCGCTGCCTCTGCCTCTCTGCTGCCTGCCGATGGGCCTGTGCACACGGGCGGGGTGGAGGCGCCAGAAACCGGCGCAGTTAGTGGACCTGCAGCACTGCGAGTACGTTCGCCCCTGGCGTGGCCCAGCTAGACGTCATCCGGGACACCTGCACTCAGTGCGAGCCCCTCTCTGAAGTCAGTTTCCCGGGTCCGCTGTGGGCTGCTATTCAGGGACTCTTCCTGATTCCTAGGACAGCTGTCTCCCTCGGTGCACTGGGAGACGGGCCTCTGCATGGCTCCTCACCCGGTGCTCTCCTGCACGGGTGCCGCCACCCTCTGTCCCTTCCCTTCTGTGAAGGGGAAGTGCTAAGGCCTCCACGGCCGCCGGGGAAGCAGGGCTGTGTGAGCTGTCCTGTTCCCGTAGCCCAGCAGGTCCCAGTTGTGGCACACCGCCTTGACCCTTCTCCCCCAAGACCCTCGGGTGCTTTCTGTAGCGATGCCACCTGTTAGATACGGAGTGACGAAGAGCTAGGTGCGTAGGGAAGATGGCACTCATTTCCATGAAGGTGGAACAGCTCCTGTGAGGACACAGACCTGTTCTGAAACCAGCGATTTCCACGCACTCTAGACTGGCCCTTCTTCCCGTCTGTGTCTGTTCTCTGTCATTTCTGAACAGCCTCTGCAGTGGCCTCCTGCTTGGCCCACGGAGGCGGGCCCAGGGCTGCTCTCCTGTGGGTGGGCCCTGGGAAGCAGCCGGGCTCATGTATCCATGCGCCGAGCCACACCCTGGGACCTTGGCATGGCCATCGGGACCACCTCAGCGCAGCTGCTGGAGCAGGGAGCCGGTGCTGGTGTGGCAGCCCGTGATGCTCTCCTGTGCCCGTGCTGTGACGCTAGACTTGGGTGGCTGTCTCCAAAGGAGCCAAATAACTTTTCCATACAGCGTCCAAAGCAGATGGGTGTGATTTGCTGTAGAACTACAAGCCCTGAGTGTGTGGGGTGGGACTGTCTCTCGGCATGTACTTGTGTGTGCTCGTAGGGGCACAGCGACAGACACATCTGGTCTCATGTGACTAGTGTTTGCGTTCAGCTGGGACTCCTGCACCTGAGCCAGTGCAGGCTCTGCAGAACCCGAGGTGGACAAGTCTTGTCCTCAGGCTGTCACTAGCGACAGAGCACATCCAGGCGACCCAGGTGTGGGCTGGAGCAGGGCTGCCTTTCCTGCTCTGACTCTTCTCCTCTGGACGGTGAAGCACTGGTCATCACGTGCTCACCTGTGCCCACAGGGATGGAAGCAGAGTGGGGGTGTATGTGTGCAGGGATGGAGGCAGAGTGGGGTTGTGTATGTGTACAGGGTGGAGCAGAGCGGGGGTGTGTTTGCTTGTAGGGATGGAACGTGTAGTGGTGTGTGCCTGCAGGGATGGAGAGTGGGGACGTGCATGTGTGTACGGATGGAGCACATAGGGCGTGTTGGCATGCATGTGTGTGTGGTGCTGGAGCACAGTGTGATGTGCGCGTGTGGTATGGGTGTGATGGGTGTGTTGTGTATGGCGTGTTGTGTCCGGGTGTGCATGTGTGTGCTTTGAGCTGTCTGTGTACGTGGAGGGTGTTGTGGTGGTGCAGATGTGGGCCTGGAGGGAGTCGGAGAAAGCACACGCAGACACGGACGCAGGACAAAGCCCTTGGTCTGCAGCCCCCTCTGCGAACTGACCCCTGAGAAGGAGCTTCCGCGCCCCACCCTGCGCCTGCTCTCAGCCGTCAGGCTGTCGTCCGGCCACTCTCTTGTCCTTTTTCCCACTTCCTTTCCCTTTGTTCTGAAACTTTGTCTATATTTAACCCAACTGTGCTGTTTCCTTCTCGATGTTATGAGACTTGAACCTGTTGCCTGTAGTTGTGCAGCTGTGTGTCGCAGACTTGTACAGTGAGTGTGCAAATACATCGGACTCTGCTGTCACTGTCCGCGCTGGTCTCTCCTTCCGGTGTGGGGGCCGCTGCGGCTGGCTGCTTGGGCTGGGCGAGGTTTGGGGAAGGAGGAATGTGAAGAATGGGCGGTGGCTCTTCTCAGGGGAAGCGCCGCTCTGCCCGCTCTTGGGGCGGGGCCCCCAGGCCAGCTCCGGACTCGGCCGCTGAGCAGCCAGGGCAGAGCCTTTGCTTGCCTTGACGCTGCCAGGTAAGTCAGCGACGTCCCTGGCCAGAAAGGGGGCGCAGCCGCGGGCCGAGTCTGGGGCCGGTGGGATGAGGACGGCGGGGGCCTTGCCAGGCGTCCGTCCTCGAGGGGGCGCCTTCGGTCCTGGGTGCAGGGGGCCCTCTGAGGCTGGCCTTTCGCACCTGACCTCTGACCTCTGCGCTTTTGTCTCCTCCCGCCTGCAGCGGCGACAGGAAGAAGGGTATTACAGCCGCCTGGAAGCCGAGAGGCGCCGACAGCACGAGGAGGCTGAGCGCCGGCTGCTGGAAGCCGAGGAGCCGGGCCTCTGCCGCCCTCCGCTCCCGCGGGGCTATGAGCCCACCCCCCCTGGCCCCGCGGCCCACCCTCCTCCCCCGCCCCAGCGGGCCGCCTCCTACCTCCACACTCAGGCCCTCTCCCCCGACTCTCTGTACACCGCCAAGTTCGTGGCTTACAACGAGGAGGAGGAGGAGGAGGACTGCGGCCCAGCAGGTCAGGATCAGTCCTCCCGCACGAGGAAGCCTCCCGGGCACCTTCCTCCTGCCGCCTTTAAGCCGCAGCCGCGCCCGGCCTCCGATGGCATCTTTCTCTCCAAATCCTTCCAGCCCCCCTCGGCCAGTGCCAACAGTACTGCCCACAGAGCAGGCCAGCCCCCGCCCCCTCCACAAAAGCCCACCTTCTTCCAGCTCGGCCACTCCAGAGGTCGAGGTAACCGCACCCGCGCCCCTCCCCGCTGCCTGCTGACCAATCACAGGCTCACGAGGCCCCACCGGCAAACGTGGCCCACCATGATCCGCTCTCTGGGAACTGGGCCCTCGTCACTAGTCTTGGCGTGTGATTGCCTCTCCCTACCTCTCAATCATGCTTCTCGGTGACGGAGATGCCGATCGATTCTGTCCTTGCAAAAGTTCCCTCTGCCAGCTGCCGGCCAGCACCCTCACTCCAAGTACTGTTGGTCTGGGCCTCCCCCTCCCTCCCCGCCCCCCTCCCTCCCCCCATTCGGACCAGCAGGCGTGTGAGCCTGTCCAGAGTGGCCCTGCTTACTAACAGCCTCGTGGCGTGCCAGTCCTCGCTCCTAATCCGCATGGCCTTGGCGCTCCAGCCTCTGCCGCAGACCGTGATGGCTCATGGGAGGTTCCCTCTGGCACAGTGCTCAGGGTGTGCTGCTCCTGCCAGCAGTGTGAGGTGACCCCTTCCTCTCTGTGCCTTAGACCCCACCGGTGCAACCCGGTATTGGTGGCCAGGCCTGGTAGACCTCTATTCTGGGCCTCAGTGTAGACAGCAGAGCCTGGCGCCCTGCCGCCTGTCCCACCTACAGGCCGTGGAAGCAGAAGTGCCCGGCCCCACTTCCCTCCCGAGGTGGACTGGCGATAGAGTTAGCCTTGTCACCGGGCTCAGAGTCGCCATGAGTGACTCAGGGCTCTGTTCTGCACTGCCAGGGATGCACAGGTCGCTGGACTCACTTAATTGAAGCATTTTGCTGAGTCTCTGTCCCCCGTTAGGCCATCGTGGGGGTTCCATATAAAATGCTTAGGTTGGCGCACCCTGAGCCCTGTGACAACCCCCTGACCACCTCTAGAGGCCAGGAGAGACAGGACCTGTGAGCAGCCTCCCTGGCCCCTCCCAAGCTCATGTCGGAGGCTTTGCTGAGTCCCCACAGCGCTGCTCAAAGAGAGGCGAGGGAGCGTGGTATCTTTGGTCCCCTCGTAACCTTCAGCTTTCGGTCATCCTACTAACCCTGGTTCTGTCTCACCCGGAAGTACTGCAGAGGAGCTGGCCGACCCGCTTCTCCCTGCCCATGCTTCTTGGACAACTCCGCGTGAAGTTGGACTCTGCCTGCAGCCGAGTCCGCTCACTGACCTCGTGCCTCTCGGTGCTGGGCTGTCTCCTGCCGCAAGACTCCAGAAGAGTGTGCTGCTGGGGCTGCCCTTGCTTCTTCCACTGCGTGCCACAGACGGGGCCAGGGGTTCTTACCATAGCGTTCAAAACGCATCTTGGCTCCAGCACGTTAAGGTGCCTCCACGGTGGCGCTGACGCATACATTGGTAGCCGAAAGCCCTTGCTATTCTGATTGACTCTGAACATTGCAGTTGGAGAACTTTTTACCAGTGGAAGAAGCAGATATTAATACAAAGTTCAAAAGATGCATGCCTCTTTATAACAAACTAAATTTAAAAAATGGGAATTAAAACGTCAAGACTTGTGCAGTACAGATAGCACTGTACAGGGCCACCCTGGAGGCCGTGAGCCGGGACCGGAGTTCAGGCTCCTTTTGGCCCTGGTGGATGCGTGTGCGCTGGCATTCTTAGGTCCCACTCACCCAGCATGGAGGTGGCCACCAGCAGGCCGAGGTCTGGCCCAGAGCGTTAATCAGCAAAGGGCAGAATTCAGTTTTGTGCCACGTGTCTGAAAGGACCGTGTTTTGATGTTGGTAGTGTCAGGACTTGGCGGCCTGCTGACTCCCTCGCACAGACGCAGCGCAGTTGGTGTGTGCTGACTCTGGGAGGGGTTTCTGAGCTGCGTGCATGCATGTACAGATGCCGTGGCTATAGCAGTGTGCCAGGACACACTTGACCAGGTCAGGGCGTCAAGGCCTCACTGAGACGTAGTCCTCCGGCAGCGTCCGCTTCTGCTTGGATGTGCTCACACTTCTGTCTGCCTTCTCTTCTCTTCCTGCAGTCCTGGGTCGATTTGGGAGCTGCTGCTGTCACTTCCTCAAGGCTGGGCCGGCCCTGAGGCAGGAGGCTGGGCTAGTTTGCGCAGGGAGAGGAGTCTGAGCATGGGAGGACGTGCTGCTCTGGCCGCTTCTGGTCTTGAGGCCCTGGAGGAGGGCTTGTTGGTGGGGCAGCACCTGGCAGGCCGCTCCCGTGAGGTTCCTCTGAGGGCCTCGGAGCATTTGAGCCTCTCCTCTGGCAGGGATGGGCTTGCACAGACCACCCAGGGTAGGTCCAGGCTAGTGGGCCAGCAGCAGCCTCCTGCCTCTGAGCTCGGACTCGGGCTTCCCTGGGCCCCGCGTCTTGCACCAGGACTTTAACTCTTTCTTCTTTTTTCTGCTGAAGGACCAAACTCTTACATGGGCTCCACAGGGGCCTTGCTCGGCGCCCATGAGGTGCATCGGGACCCCAGAGAGAAGCTGTGTAGAAGGTAGGTGCCGCCCCGCTGTTGCCTGAGTGGGGCAGGGCTAAGTGACTCCAGTTCCCTGGGTGCAGGTGTGGTGGTTGGTGTTGCGGACCGCGGCCCGGGTTCTGTTTTGAGCGGACATAATGCGTGCACTGCTGTTTCCGACCCACCTGAGACCCCAGGGACAGACTCGGCTTGGCACAGTGGTTTGTGGGCCCTTGTGTTTTCTCGCACGCCCTCCCCTGGGGTTGAGGCTGGCGTGCACGGACCCAGCAGTTCTACAGCAGTGAGCTCGAAGTGGCTCACTGCATCTCACTGGGACCGGGCGTTTCCTTGGGCTTGTTGGTTGAGGCCACTCTGATCTGTGCAGGGATCAGGGCTCCCAGGATGCGGTCCTTTCCATGGCTCTCACGTGACATGCGCAGAGGACGGCTCGGTGGGCTCCGAGCAGTGCCTGTGACTAGAGCACCAGCTAGCCTGTTCGCTGCTCAGGGGAACACTGCCTGTTCCTGCTCTGGGGCCTGGCGAGAACAAGCCTGCTCCCCTCTTCCCGGGAGTCTTCGGGTCTGCGGACAGTCGCTGTGCCGTCCTGAGGGACAATCCCCTCTGCTTTATCTTCTGCAGCCAAGAGACAGGTCCACCTGGAAGTCCTGGAGCACCTGAAAACTTGACGTTCAAAGAGCGCCAGCGTCTCTTCTCACAAGGTCAGGACGTGTCGGATAAAGTGAAAGCGTCCCGGAAACTGACGGAACTGGAACAGGAGCTGAACACCAAGTGAGGGGTGCCAGGCGCGCACAACCCCTCCACCTCTGCTCTCAGCGCCGGGATCCAGATCCCGATCCCAGAAAGCTTATTTTATTTTCCAAGAAATTATCATTTATACACTTCAGTACTGTCTAAATTCTTAACTGGCTCACATGAAGAAAGCTTTGTGTTAGTTTCTTTTTAGAGTCTTGAGTTCCCAGGGGACAAACGGGGGGCGGGGGGGCGGCGTTTGTGGGACGAGGGGCTGCTTCCCTCTCCACACCTTCTCTCCTGTCGGACACTGGCTGGAACTGACCTGGCACACGTTTGCACTCAGGTCCTCCCTCTGGGAGTGGCCGCAGGGTCACCCTTACAGGTACAGGCTCCCCGATCCACTCCAGGTGTGGGATTCTAAAGAATTCTCCAAGAGAAAACCTCGAAGATTTACCTTTAGAAAATTTTACTGTTGTAAATTCCTGAATGTTGTTAGATTAGTAACTTTCTCGTGGTCTTGAACACGGCAGTCCCACTAGAAAGTGAGCTGTAGCTAACGGGATTGGAAATCCGGCCCGGGAATCCAGGGCCGGCTCTGATTGGGCCTTGCTGTGAGCGGAGCCAAGCACCTCGACGGGTGGGGTGCCCAGCTGTCACGGAAACGCGTGTGGCCGTTCCAGCCAGTCTTTCACCTTCTCATAGAGCTATTTAATTTTCTTCTGTTGATTATTAGTTACCACTGTTGTTTCTTCAGCTATGAATTTGTGACTGATGTTGGGGAGACGGACCTCACTGTGTTGTAGATTGTGTGATGTTACAATGGTAAGTCACTTTGTGATTATGAGCAGATTTCCTGTTTGACAAAGCCCTGCTGGGTTGAGGTGGTTTTTCTTTACCGTACTGTTCTCTGCCCTGGGTGTCTGTTAGGAAAACGTGCACACTTTCAAATGGAAGCACCCGCCTCAGAATCACTTTAATACGAGTTGTATGATAGATCATTAAAACTGCGAGTGTACATAGTTTTGTCTGCCGGGTTCTTCTTTGAAAGTGTGCTTGGACCCTTGCCTCGTGTTGTGAGGCCGCGTGCCAGGCCTGCCTGCTTTTCCAGGGGCACTCAGGGAAGCAGGCTGTACCCAGCACTTGAGGACACAGCAGCCTCTGGGGGACTGCGTCCACTCTCTCTACAGAAACTACTGTTATGTCCCCAGAGAACACACCCTGGGCGGTGTCTGCGGGCAGGGCTGGGGCTGAGTGCCCGTGGGGGCAGGCCGTGCGGGATGACTTGATTGTGAGCGAGCGAGCTTTGCGGAACTGCGTTCCTATGGAAAAACACCAAACTGCTGTCTTGTCCATTTCTACTGTATTTGGCGACCTATTTTTAATAAACTTTATATGTATTTCCGTGTCTCGGCAGTTCCTTCAGGGGCGTGGCTGCTGGTCTGGCACAGCACAGCCTCTGCTCGTGCAGGGGCCCGGCGAAGGCCCCGCCCCCAACTGCTGGGGGGGCAGCCAAGTGGGGGGCGGTGGGGGACTGGGGGGGAGCGGGTGTCCTGGGCGTCACGGCAGCTGCCCAGGCATGTTCCTTCTGGCCCCGACAGGTTTCTTTCACAGGCGGCCTCCCGTGGTCTGCTGCTTCCAAGGCTTGTGTATCATTCGAGCCTGCATCTAAATCAGTGAAATCAGATCTGACTTCAGTTTGGGATTTGAAAGCATAGACCTGAGCAGACCCAGTAAAGTGGGAGCCAGAGCATGAGGAGCCCGGCGGAGGGAGGTTTCTGCCCGGTAGAGTTGTGGCCAGGGACGGTCCTTGTGTTCTTGCATCAAAAGCAGCAGCCATCCGTGGGAGACTGGAGCCCCTGGTGGTACCCTGTGCAGTGCTTCGGACACGGTGCTGCTCTGTCAGCGTCGCCTGGTGGCACTGTGGGCGCCTGCACTAGACCCTTCAGCTGGCATCAGAATCAGAGCTGTCCCCCGCCCACTCAGCCCCTTTTGGTGCCTCCACGCCCGCTTCCTCAGTCCCTTTAACTTGCACACCCGTACGTTCAGCCCTGCCCCAAGCCCGCTGGCCCTCTAGTCGGCCCCTTGCCCAGCCAGGTGCAGGGTGGCCTACTTTCCCCAACAGACTTGGGCCGTGATTCCTGTGACCTCCCTCCACCTGGCCCTGGCCCCAGGCTAGCCCACGAACTTTGGGGCCACATTCACCACCCCGACTCCATGTAGGGCAGGATGGGGTTGTGGAAGGGGCTGGGATTGAGAGCAGGGGTGAGGGAGGGGATTTGGGATAGGAGGGAGAGGAGATGGGCATGTCTGGTGCATCACATGGCGGAGCGGACACTAATCAGCTGGGCAGAAGGTCCAAAGGGACTAAGAGGGCCCAGGGGAGGTGAGGGCTGCAGGCCCTAGCGCCTCCCAAACAGGATTTCACAGGGGAGCCCCGTGCCCTGCCCTGGGTGTGTGTGTGTGTGTGTGTGTGTGTGTGTGTGTGTGTGTGTGTGTGTGTGCGCGCGCGCGCAGTTCCCAGGCCCCAGGCCTCTGCACCCGGCCTCATTGGGCACTTCCCCCAGGAGCAGACACTCTGGTGTCAGTGCCTGGGGGTGCTGCTCAGTCTCATCTGGGGGTGAGCACCCCTGGGGGGTTTGGGCGCTTGAGTGAGGAGACACAGGGGCCCCAGGCCACCGGAGCCCACTTCCATTTGCTCCCCTAGCCCTGACCGTGCACACCCTTCGATTTTACAGGTGGAGGAAGTCCTGGCCCTGGGGGGTCTCAGGCCAGGACTACGAGGGGCAGATTGCCAGCACCCACCTCTGCCCTGCAGCCCCTCCACCACCCAGGCAGGCTGGCGTGGAGTCGAGCACCAAATTCTGGGGCCTCTCTAACCACCCCACGAGGCCCAGACAGGCCCCAGGCTCATGGGAGGGGCCTGACACTGAGCTCAGTCTGGAGTGCTGAGAGCAGGCCTGCACATACACACCGCTCGCTGCTTCAGGACAGTGGGGGTGAGGGTTGGGGTAGGGGGCACCCCAGCTGGACTCTCTGGAGGCCCGAGCCTCACCCGTGAGAGAACAGTGTGCGGGAAGGCCGGGCAGTGCTGGCTCCGCTCCGCGGGACCCGACCTTCAGGCCCTTCATTGGCTGAGAGTGCGTGGCGGTGCTGAGCTCAGAGCCAAATCCACTTCCTGGCCAGTCCTCCCGGGGCCCGCAGTGTGCGTGGGAACAGTGGTCAGCAGTGTCGTCAGAGGTAAAGGCCCAGACAGAAGAAACGGCTCCATACTGTGCTGTGCCGCAGGGCCCAAGAGGGCTCGAGTTCCGCTCGCACGTGCCCGCTCCCGAGTCCAGAGCTGGGCGCCACCAGTGTGACCCTGAAACCAAGGAAGTAGCAAGCGAAGCGTGCCCCCCAGCACCATTCATTCGAGTGACATTCATTCGAGTGACAAGGTGGCGGTGGGGTTGGGGGTCCAGGGCCTTCGGTGAGGGCACATCCCACACACCAGCCCCCCCTGACGGCGGCTCCCGCCCCCTTCCCAAACAATCTAAAGGAGGAAGGGGAGGCGGGCTCAGAATGGGCCCCTCAGAGGGGCGTGCGGAGTGGGGGCTGGTCCCTGCGTCCTCAGGGCTGGTCTCACCTGTGACCCCCTTACAGTAATCAACTGATTAAGTTCCCAAGCTGCTCCCCACTGAGGCCTGTACGGCAGACACCCCACCTGGGGTGGGGCATAGGGTACCTCCACTGAAGGGGCTGGGCTGCGGGGCAACCCCCTCTGCAGGCAACTAGCTCTCGCGTTGCAGAGGGTGCCCTCCTGGCGACGCCTACAGCAGAGCCGGGGCTGGGGCTGGCCCGGACAGCCCCACCCGTCCAGGCTCTTCCCAGAGACACTCCCTTGCGCACGGCCTGGGGTCAGTGTCCTTCCGCAGAGCTGGGGGACGCCCAGGGGACAGCAGGAACCGCCAACCAGCAGCACCAGGGGGTGGGTAGCGGGAAGTGCCCACCCACACCCCACCCGCCTCCTGCACAGGCCAGGCCTAGTGCGCCCGCACCCATCCCTGCCCCATAAGCCCTGGCCTTGGCCCACACCCGCATCGCGACCCCCGCCCTGGACTCAGCCACGCGGCTGCCCACACAACCCTGTTCTGGCCCTGCCCCGTAGGCCCACCCTACTCCAGTAGGCCCCCCTCATCCCGGCCTTATAGTCACGCCCCTGCCACGCTGCCTCACCCTGACTCAGAGCCTATTCCGCACGCCCCGCCCACCCTGCCTGATAGCCACGCCCCGTCCCCATGCCCCGCCCACCCTGCCTGATAGCCACGCCCCGTCCCCATGCCCCGCCCACCCTGCCTGATAGCCACGCCCCGTCCCCATGCCCCGCCCACCCTGCCTGATAGCCACGCCCCGTCCCCATGCCCCGCCCACCCTGCCTGATAGCCACGCCCCGTCCCCATGCCCCGCCCGCCCTGCCTGATAGCCACGCCCCGTCCCCATGCCCCGCCCACCCTGCCTGATAGCCACGCCCCGTCCCCATGCCCCGCCCGCCCTGCCTGATAGCCACGCCCCGTCCCCATGCCCCGCCCGCCCTGCCTGATAGCCACGCCCCGTCCCCATGCCCCGCCCACCCTGCCTGATAGCCACGCCCCGTCCCCATGCCCCGCCCACCCTGCCTGATAGCCGCGCCCCGTCCCCATGCCCCGCCCACCCTGCCTGATAGCCACGCCCCGTCCCCATGCCCCGCCCGCCCTGCCTGATAGCCACGCCCCATCCCCATGCCCCGCCCGCCCTGCCTGATAGCCGCGCCCCGTCCCCATGCCCCGCCCGCCCTGCCTGATAGCCACGCCCCGTCCCCATGCCCCGCCCGCCCTGCCTGATAGCCACGCCCCGTCCCCATGCCCCGCCCACCCTGCCTGATAGCCACGCCCCGTCCCCATGCCCCGCCCGCCCTGCCTGATAGCCACGCCCCGTCCCCATGCCCCGCCCACCCTGCCTGATAGCCGCGCCTCGTCCCCATGCCCCGCCCACCCTGCCTGATAGCCACGCCCCGTCCCCATGCCCCGCCCGCCCTGCCTGATAGCCGCGCCCCGTTCCCATGCCCCGCCCACCCTGCCTGATAGCCACGCCCCGTCCCCATGCCCCGCCCACCCTGCCTGATAGCCACGCCCCGTCCCCCATGCCCCGCCCACCCTGCCTGATAGCCACGCCCCGTCCCCATGCCCCGCCCACCCTGCCTGATAGCGCTGCCTCCGCCCTGCCCACTCCCGCCACTTAGTCCCGCCCCACCCACCCTGCCTGATAGATAGCCCCCACGCCCCGCCCACCCTGCCTGATAGCCACGCCCCCGCGCCCATACCCCGCCTACCCTGCCTGATAGCCATGTCCCGTCCCCATGCCCCACCCACCACGCCTGATAGATCATGCCCCGCCCATCCTGCTTAATGCCATGCCCCGTCCCCATGCCCCGCCCACCCTGCCGGATAGCCCCGCCCCGTACCCACGCCCCGCCCACCTGCCGGATAGCCACGCCCCGTGCCCACGCCCCGCCCACCCCTGCGCCTGCTGGGGCTCTGCGGCTGCTGCTTGGCCTTCCTGGAAGGTGCTTCTGGAAGGATGTTCCCTTTAGCTGGAGGCTAGTACATGAGGCACCAGCACAGTGGACCCATCCCGAGAGAAACGGAAGCCGGCTGGGGGGAGAGGGGCTTGTGACTGCCCACCCCCACGGGCCTGCTCCTGATTCAGGGCGGGCCCGAGAGCGGGACGCAGGGGAGCTGCGGCCTGTCCCCCGCTCCCCCTCACGTGCCGCTGTCCGGGCCCCAGACCGCCCAGGCGGGCGCACCTGGCCGAGGGTCAGCGCTCCTGGCCCGCCGGCCCCTCTCCCGGCTCTTTCCCAACGCAGCCCCCGCTTGCCTGAGCAGTGCGGGACGCAGGACACGCCTAGGGCCTTCGAGAGCAAGCTGGGAGCATCTGCAAGGTCCTTTGGTCGGGAGGAGCTTCTGGAGGAGGGATCAGGCCACGCCCAGGGACGGGTGCGCAGGCGCGTGGAGGCACCTGTGTAGGGGAGGGGCCCAGGGAGGGGGCGGTCAGGGGAGGGGCGTGCGCGGGGGCGGGGCATGGGCAGGGGCGGGGCAGGAGGGGTGTGGGCAGGGCAGGGGCGTGGGCTGGGGAGGGGCGTGGGCAGGGGAGGGGCGTGGGGAGGGGCAGCCGTGGAGGGAGGGGTGCAGGGGAGGAGCGGCGCGTGGGGGCGCACACTGTCCGGCCTCAGCCTCCAGCCCCCGAGGCAGCCTCACGAGGCGGGGTGCAGGTCCGGGCCGTGGTCGGAACTCTGGTCTGGGCTCCGGGTCGGGTGTGGGTCAGGACCCGGGTCGGGCTCCTGGGTCGGGGCTGGTTCTGGTTCTGGATCGGGCTCCTGTTCCGAGTCC